CGGTAGACATGTTTTTTTTTTGGGGGGGGGGGGGGTGACAAGAACGCTCTGTCTGACAAGAACGCTCTGTCTGACAAGAACGCTCTAGAGAAAACACAAGCGAAATAAAAACATGCACAGTAATTCGAAAAACGAAATATGACGTCGACACATTTAGCATAGAGTAGAACATAATCTCAAACCAGAGAGTGCACACAGTAATATGACGTCATTGATTCTCGCGTAAACATTGAATAAAAGGAAATTTTGTCTAATCTAAATGGTTTGCGTGAAGAGTTTCTTGCATATAATTCTTCGGGTATGGGCGAAGCCCCACCTCCCGCGTAAGAACGTCTGAGCCCCCCCCCCCCCCCTCCCCAACTAAAAAAAAATTCTTCATCGATACTCTATAATAAAATTACCGCCTAATTAATGTGTCTAATCTAAAAAGTGGTTTTCTCGCAATTTCTTTAATGCAATTCTTCGCGTAGTGGCTAAGCGCGACACCAGTGTTTCTTTCAGACTTTTTCCTCCCGGAGGTGGGGGGGGGGGGTGGTGTGTGGGGTGGGTGGGGGTGGGAGGGGTGGTGGTGGGGGTTGGTGTGTGTGGGGGGTGGGTTGGTTTTAGTTTAGAGAAAAGAGACAGCACTATCAACCTAGCGCCCGGTGTATCCTTCCTCAACGGGCCATTTTTCTCGTCTATAATAATAGTTTCGCTGTCTGTCAAGAACGCTCTGTCTGACAAGAACGCTCTAGAGAAAACACAAGCAAAATAAAAACATGCACAGTAATTCGAAAAACGAAATATGACGTCGACACATTTAGCGTAGAGTAGAACATAATCTCAAACCAGAGAGTGCACACAGTAATATGACGTCATTGATTATCGCGTAAACATTGAAAAAAAGGAAATGTTGTCTAATCTAAATGGTTTGCGTGAAGAGTTTCTTGCATACAATTCTTCGGGTAGGGGCGAAGCCCCACCCCCCGCGTAAGAACGTCTGAGCCCCCCCCCCCCTCCCCAACTCAAAAGAAATTTCCTCATCGATACTCTATAATAAAATTACAGCCTAATTAATGTGTCTAATCTAAAAAGTGGTTTTCTTGCAATGGGAAGGTAGACATGTTTTTTTTTTGGGGGGGTTGGGGGGGGAGGGGTGGAGGGGTGGGGGGGGGGTGGTGTGTAGGGGTGGGGGGTGGTGTGTGGGGGGGTGGGTTGGTTTCAGTGTTTCTTTCAGACTTTTTCCTCCCCGGAGAGGGGTGGGGGTACTTGAAATTTTCGGGGGCGGGGGTAGAATATTCTGGGAGGGGGCGGACACTGGAAAAAGTATATAATTATATTTCGTTGAATGGGACGGTAGACATGTTTTTTTGGGGGGTGGGGTGGGGGTGGGGGTGGGTGTGGGTGGGTGGGGGGGGGGTGGTGTGTGGGGTGGGGTGTGGGGTGGGGGGGGGGGTGGGGGGAGGTGTGTGTGTGGGGGGGGTTGGTTTTAGTTTAGAGAAAAGAGACAGCACTATCAACCTAGCGCCCGGTGTATCCTTCCTCAACGGGCCATTTTTCTCGTATAATATATAGTTTGTACGTTATGCAACACTTTTTAATTTTTCGTTGATGTTTGCCTGTTGCGAATATATTTAAATATATTGTATTACCAACACTTAATATTAATAGCAAAAACATATAAAAAAACGTAAATGCATTAAAAAGATAAAATATAACAAAAACTGCAACCCATATTAAAACTAAAATAAAATGGGTATGGTATTTAAAAGCCAAAAAAAAAATAAGTAAGTGATATTTAACAAACAAGAAAATAAATTCAAATAATAAACAAAATATACATACATAAATTGATAAAATAATAGAAAAAAAAAAGAATGACATGAAAACTATAACACTTAAACCTAAACATTTTAATTTGTAGATAAATAAATACATCTAAGAAAAAATAATTTATTTTATACATATAGGAATAGATCTATATATGTAATATTGATATATTTATAACTTCCCTTAAAGCCAATTAATTATCGGTAAAATATAATGTTCTAATATTCATCTGCAACGACAGTTATAGAACACGTAAACTAACTTAGGTTATTTTTAGATTATTACGTAACGAATCGGGGATTTCCAAAATGACTTGATATCTAGATCTAGGCCTAGGCTGTAAGTGTTTGTTGGATTAGTGTGTTGTTTGTTTGACCTGCTTTTAGGGTAAGGTATTTAGTATTTAGTAGGCCTAAATGAGTTTTTTGTTTGTTTTTCACTTTAATTCTAACGTGAATTGTTTGTTTTGACTTCTATCGTGTACATACTGGAATCATTTTTGTTCGGGAATGTGTTAATTTGAATACAGCTGCTTTGATTGAGTACACGAATAAAGTAAGATTTTATCAGACATTTAATTTTCTGATTACGTGTCGTCAAATGACACGTATATTTTAACTATACGTACGTCACGTAATTGTTAGGCTAACTTGTGTGAAATTTACATGCCGTTTACGACTTTAATGTTTTGTCGACATGTATTCGCGAACAGTATAATTTTCAAAATGGTGTATTAATTTAGTGCAGTAAGCATTTATGTTGTGTACATTGTCACCATCGTTAGTATTATTCGGTTTGAGAACGCTTTTTTACATAAAAATCTATACGACACATTATTTGACTGTATACGATCTGTGTTTAGGGGGTAGCAAATACATAGCTTTTTGACCATCAGCTAAATTTCCACTAACATTATGAAACTTAGATCTTTGACCGATATAGCGATTTTCTTCGCAGTTAGAAATGGGTATTTGCCAAACTATGATATGAATCAGCTATTTAAACATTTCAGCAATGTTTGGTAGATTTCGCTTAGGTGTATGCTATAAATAGCGTCATTGTTTCACCCTACTGCAGCAAGTTAGGTGTATTATTATCATTTACATCGATATCATGTTTTTATGATATAAAGTGATTTAGTTGGCCATGTGTCTTCTTCAAATACAATATCAGAAATTTCATTTATGTTTTTAATATCGTGTAGTGTACAAATATATATTAAGTAATCAACCTAATTCAAGTTAAAAAATATTGGTACGTTTTTAATAAGTATCTAAGCCTGGCTGTACAATGTGTCAAAAGTCTTATAAAACAGATGTGAAAATTATGTAATGTTTATATTTTTGCTCTCTCTCTCTCTCTCTCTCTCTCTCTCTCTCTCTCTCTCTCTCTCTCTCTCTCTCTCTCTCTCAGTTTCTCTCGTATGTAATCATCTGTTCTTTCTGTAATACTTGAGTTTTAATGTTATAAAAGCATTTGTACACAATAAAAGTTCTGTACAATAGAACCAGAATGTGTATTGATGTATAAGCAATAACGATTTAGTCATTCATCACTGTCATAGGGCTAGGGGTGGTTGTTACAAGTATTTTTCCTTCTATGTAGATAGCTTGCACCATAGCGGATCGGGATGGGTTCCATTGGTTTTTTAAATACGATTCTAGTGTAGTTAAACACTGTGTGTAACTTTGTTAGCGGAATGTAATAGCTACTTGTACTTTTATATTTACTAAATCCCTAGTTTATATACATATATATTTTCTATGTGTAAGAATTTCAAACAAGTGCTTTAATGATATATTTAAAATAATAAACGTATTTGAGCCATACTTTTATTTTCTACTCTTAGGCTAGGAACCTGCTAAACAAAATGGCACTTGCATGTGATAGAAGGTATGTTGGAGGGGATGTATGGTGTGCATGTGACAACAGTGTAGTCTGTATTAATGAAAACCAAGAAAACGACTTTGAAACAATATCACAGACCATAAGTAATTTTACACGAAGGAATCCCACCGATACAGAAATAGTACATCTGTTGATACAGGCAATATTAAATACCTGTAATACGCGAATTGATGTGTTAAGTAAAGCATGCACAAATCCCCGGGACTTTCATGAACCTATCATCAAGGCTGTCGACACTGGTAATTCGAAGATTTTGAAAACATTGCTAGAAAACAATTTTGATCCATGTAGCTATAAAAAAGTTGATACGATACCATTCCGTCTGTCGGCCATTGACCTGGCTTTACAGAGGAAGGATATTCTGTCTGCAAAATTGCTCATGCAATACGGCGCCAAACCTGATATCTATTTCGGTGTTACCGAATCAGTTGAACGTGGGAACGATGTGCATTTATTTTTCTTGCAATCCCATTTCTCAGAGGATGTTAGCAGTGTGATAAAGTTCCACAGTGCCGGGTTTCTTCATACCGCAGTGGAGAAGGGCCACACAGAAGTCATAAAATTGTTGAAACAGCTGGGAGCTGATATCAACTTGGCTATACACCAGAGAGGCACGCCATTAATGTGCGCACGTAGACCTGACGTCATTAACCTCTTGATACCGCACGGAGCCGATGTAAACGCTAAGCTTCCGGCAGAATTTAACAGCTCTACTGCATTGTTACATGCAGTCTCTGTTGGGTTCTACAGTAAATTTGTCAATTCTCAAGAAAATGTTAGTAAATCAAGTAACATGATAATGAATGATATACAAGATATAATTAAATCTCTAGTAAGCAACGGTGCAAATGTAGACGATAGAAACATCGATGGTAAAACAGCTCTTATGGTGGCTGTTGAACAAAGCGAGTATTCGGAAATTGTTGAGTTTTTAATTTCTAAACACGCCAACACCAATCTTAGAAACAAAGAAGGAAAAACAGCTTTACATTTGGCTGTTAGTAGTAGATGTAGGGCTAACATAGATGTTTTGCTGAAGTCAAAGGTAGATTTAGACGTGCAGTGTAAGTCAGGAATGACAGCTTTACATGAAGCTGTCCGGACAGGACAGAGGACAGTTGTTGTAGCCCTGATTCAACATAAAGCTGACGTGGGTTTAACCGATGCTAAAGGCAACTCCCCGCTACATCATACAGTGATTAGTGAGTGCAGTGATACTGGCATTGCAGAACTATTGTACTACGCTGGGTGTGAGTTAGATCAAAGCAATCACGACGGGTACACGCCAGTGATGCTGGCTGCTGAGAGACTACAGATGGATTATGTAAAACTGTTCTGTAAACTTGGAGCAGATGTTAATTTAATGAACAGCAAAATTGGCAAAACAGCTCTTAATTATATTTTAAACGTAAAACACAGATCAGAAACAAGGGAGATGGTGTGTGATGGAATTAGCTACCTTCTTGGTAAAATCGATAAACTCCCTAAAATAGATCCTATGAAATTTCACTTTTTAATATTTGAAGGCAGGATCGAGCTTCTTCATAAGTTTGTATGTGCGGGGTTAAAGCCAGATAACGTTGAATTGAGACTTCAAAATTATGACGGTTATAACAGTCAACAGGTGCTGTCCCCAATCGCGTTCGCTCTCTTGTGTAATGAGGTAGAAATAGCCGGGTACTTCTACGACCTAGGTTTCACGACGAAAGGCGACTTACTACTCAAAACATCTCAACAAAGTATTACAAAATTCTTAGAAAGTAAGGAGTACACCCAGGGACTACAGTTCCTGTCCGAGTTTTCGCCAAGAGCAGTGAGGCTACAGAGCATGTGTTTTCTCACCATCTCGTCTGCTGTTGGCTTTGGTAAAGAGCGGGAAACAAAAGTCGGGAGCTTAGGATTGCCGCGAGTATTTCAGAGGAAACTTCTGCTCCAGCCCGATAATCTAGCCAGCACAGGCCGAGAGAGAGGAGGCCCCAGAGACGAGTACAGGTTCCAGAAACTTCTCCTGACTTTCGACAGGTTTTGTGTAGCAGAACAACTGATACCTGGACACGTAAACACGAGATAAACACATACCATTGACTTCATGGGCTAAGCACATTTACTTGGTTTCGTTAACAAGATTTGGAATACATATGGAATTTCTACCAATGCTGAATTTTAGTATATGAATGCGTGTGTACCGTAGACTTTTATTTAAACTATAATTAGAAAACATTTAATCTATGTAAGCCTTTTTAACAAATAATATTTATTGTAACTTCAAATATCCCTGCACTCAATTACAAGTAATAAGACCGACTAATTAATTCTTTATTTCACTATTTCTATTTTTACTCTAACCAATTTATATTGTTACTGCGTTAATGTAAAAACGTCGCATGTGCATTTTTACATTGAGGACCCATTTCTGAAACAGTATATTTACACCACATATTTCAAGTGCCTGATAATATCTAGATTTTTTTCTTGTTTTTAGATTGAATAAATTTAAAAAATTAATAGTTCTTCAAATCAGATTTGCAATATATATTTATTTAAAACAATCGGAAAATCGACTAAATCATCATGAAAACCGTCCAAAGTTAGCTCACTCTATGCTTGGGCCTTTTCGCCTAGCTGTAATGAGAGAAATACATTAGATACATTAGATAAACACGTTTTCATGATGTAAGCTTATCAGACGAGTCGCTGATAAACTGTGTAGTATTTTATTTTTTATCAGTTATTTTTAGAAACACGATGGCAGCTTTTACAATAGACACGTATATAAATGGTACACATTGTGATGTTAAACTTTGTGTGTAACACATATGGATACCAGCCATGGGGGATAAGTAATAAAGTTGTAATTCATTGGGTTGCGGCTCCTGTGGGGCCGTAACTGTTGATGTAGTTTTTTTGCATGCTCTTCGGTGAGCGATTTTACCTGTGTCCCATGTCATGTGACATGGGATTATGGGTAGTTTGTCTAAAGCTTAGCGAATAAGTAAACTTTAATTCAAACCTAAATCTGTACATGTTTGATGTGTTGTGAATGGTTCACTGTGTTGCTTGGTTATGTAATTCATCACATTCCACTATTTTGTTAATATCCTATGAATTACTTTTTTTAAATTAAAAAAAAGTATACATACAGCAATCGCTTCCAGAATTTCTATTGAACCGTTTCCTGTGGATAAGATCAAGGGAATATGATACATTTTAAAATACGTGTTATAATTTAGCATCTAAAATATTAAGTAATTTACTATAACAACGATAAAAAACGAAAAAAATACAATTTTTTAGCATTTCCTAATCACAATATTTTAATTCTGTTCATATAAAACAATATCTAACTTTACTGAAAATCACTTTCTTAACTTGAAATAGAAAAAAAAAAGTTCAAAATATTTATCAGCACTAACAAATCACGCCACTGACTCTATAAATAGAGCGTTGTTGTATCTTTCATCAAACGTGAGTACTCACCGCTGATGTCCAGAGCTGAGAATTTGTCCCCGACTTCTGTCGTTGAGATGACGTCATCGCTGTTGGCGTCGAACGATTTGAACACGGTTTCTGCGTCCTGCTGAGATCCGAACTTACTGTCTGTCCATGTTTTCAAGAAGTCGGCCTTGGCCACTGACCCGTCGGCTGATGAAACAAAATCACGTGGCTATAAATTCATATGACGCGAAACCTTTTTATTGTTAAAAAACCCTACTTTTCGAAATTTCCAATTCTCAAACTTTGTGTTAAAATTTGTAATCTATTATACAATATATCAATGTTTTCATACTACCCAGATCAGCTGTGTCTTGTTTAATGTACAGCGCATACACACATATACACACAAATATATACATATATATATATATATATATATATATATATATATATATATATATATATATATATATATATATATATATATATATAATATATATATATATATATATATATATACTAGCCGTCCCGGCCAGGCCCTGCTCTGGCTTCTGTGAAAAACCTTTCTGTTAAAGACCATTACCTGTGTGTTTAGTAATCATCATAAACCCGGCATTGCCCACCCAAACCACAACCAACCAAAACAACAAAACGCAAACATAACGCTAACACAATTACAAATACAAACGAAAACAAAACCTAACAACAAACCCAACCACAACCACAAACACCAATACAAACACAAAGAAAAAACAAACAAAAAAGCAAACGAAAACAAAAACCTAACAACAAACCCAACCACAAACACCAATACCAAAAAAAAAAAAACAACGAAAAAGCAAACGAAAACAAACCAAATCCAAACGCAAAACCAACCAAAAACACAAATACAAACCCAAACAAAAAAACACAAACAAAAACGAAAAAAGAAAGAACAAAAACGAACCAAATCAAAACGCAACCACTAACGCAAACCCACCTAAACACAAAGAAAACACTAACGCGAACATAAACGCTCGGGGCGGAATCACCTGTTTTAGCTTAATGAACGACTATAGTACCCCAACTTATTCATAGTCTTTTGCACTCACTTAAACGAACGCGCCTGTTTCAATTTGATGAACAATTATAATACTCCAAGCTTATCCGTAAAATACCTACAACATTTGCACTTGATCAATCCCCGCTAATTATGTAATTATTTTTTTTTCCCCAACTCCAAAACAAAGTAATTAAAAAGTAAATTCTTGTCCACAAATGCAATGGTTTTATAAAGGGAAGTAATTGTGTTTTCCTAATTTATCAAAGGGAAGTAAGTGCTATAGGACTAAATAAAGACATAATTAGAATTTTTGCAAATGATGATATTTTTTTAAAACTTGTGTTTAATGAACATGCCGACAATTATTACTATAATTTGAAAAATGAAAATTATTTCCCAACACTTTCAATAGTAATTTTTAACTCATAAATTTAGACAAATGCGCACGATAATTGTCTAACACTTAAATCCATCCAAGACCAACGACAAACATATGCATTACATACAGAACTGAGCTTTATATATTATATATATATATATATATATATATATATATATATATATATATATATATATATATATATATATATATATATATATATATATATATATATATATATATATATATGCGTGTGTGTGTGTATGTATTCACCTACATATACCCCTCATCAGAGTTTCTTCCAGGCATATCTTCCGCGGGGGGGGGGGGGGGGGGGGGCACTCTAGTCACCCCCCCCCCCCCACCCCTCTCCGAAGAAAGTCTACCGCTCCCCCCCCCCCCCCCCCCCCCACCAAAACAGTGACCGTCTACAGTTCTACAAACGATATAAACTTCTATAAATGTACACAATAATACACGTAATGGTTACATTACACAGGTGATAGACTGGTGTAACACACTGGGAATTACCGATTTTACTTGTTAATTAGGTCAACGGAGAACCGATAGAACTCAGATTCATTTTCTTAAATACATAAAACAATGTTGGTAAAATTAATTTATTTCAATAATTACATATTTCAATGCTTTAGATGTAAAAAAAAAAAGAAAAGAAAACCCACGGATAAACGAAACTAAAAAACTAAAAATAGCTTTTATGACACGTTGAAAGTTTGAGAGGGGGGGGGGTGCAAATCGAAAGTTTGTCCCCGGTATTGAGTCCAATTCACCCTCCCCCCCCTTTTTCCTTTTCGACAGCGAGTGTTTACCTTTTGTGTCTGTTCAATTGATCGAACATGGTTGGCAATTTTTGTCATTCAAGAAATGATAAAAATCAATGTATACATTTAAAATATCAATGTGTTGTTTTTTATCAATTGACTTGAGCTATCAGATAGATAGAGAGAGAGAGAGAGAGAGAGAGAGAGTGAGAGAGAGAGAGAGACGGGAGACAGAAAGAGAGAGATAGAGAGAGAGAAAGTGCGTGTATGCCATAAGCTTGAAGAAGATAGTCTAAAACATAACGTATAATGACATACGCTCGAAAGTCATTGCCTATAATTATTTATACCAACTCAGTGTAATTCATTGGTCTATACTTTATTGTCAACTTAGCTGCAGACTTTCAGGTACGATTTTAATTTTAGTATTAAATGTTATTGTATAATTCGTATTAGCCAACCTAGATCCAAATTTGTTTAATGCATGGGTTTTTTGTTTTTATAATCGGTGGATCAGTTTTTTTATCACACGCTTGACTACCATAGTGATCTTTCTACTGATTAGCGAGCATAGATGTAGGCTACACGTAATGTTCCACCTACCTGTAGTTTTAAATGATTTAAACAGTTAAACGACCCTAGATGTAGGCTACACGTAATGTTCCACCTACCTGCAGTTTTAAATGATTTAAACAGTTGGGAGAACTCGGTTTTAGTCAAGTGCTGGTCGTTGTTGTTGTCCTTCTCAACTCTCTCAAATAGGATGACGAAGGGGACTTCGTGATACACCTAGCATAAGTAAACAAATAGTTTGTCATAACTAGCAAAAGTTAACAAATGGATTGTTATACACCTAGCAGAAGTGAACAAATGAAATGTCATACGAGTAGTATAAGTTAACTGGCATGTTATAACTAGCATAAGTTAACAAATGGAATTTCATACACTTAGCAGAAGTTAACACATGGAATGTCATACACTTAGCAGAAGTTAATTAATAGAATGTCATACATCTTGCAGACGTTAACAAATGGAATGTCAAAACTAGCAGAAGTTAACTGTAATGTCATAACTTGCAGAATTTAACAAATGGATTTTTGACAACTAGCAGAAGTTAACTGGAATGTCGCAACTAGCAGAACTGGACAAGATGAATGTGATACACCTAGCAGAAGAACACACAAGATGTGATTCCCCCAAGCAGACGCCCGTTGCTGTGATGCTGTTTCATTGTAAACATGTATCAAATAAGTTAGACTTACATCTGAGTACTTGATCATGAACTCCTGTGCCTGAACAGTTCCATCCCCGTTCAGATCAAACCTGAAAGTCAACAACTATGGTAAACATCGTCGTTTTCATTAGACAAAAACGCAAAATATTCCTGCACATGGAAAATGATTAATGGTAAAAATAAAATGCACGTTCTCGCTGCACATTTTAAGTGAAAATATATATATATATATATATATATATATATATATATATATATATATATATATATATATATATATATATATATATATTATATATTCGGTTTAGTATGTTCCTTTTTACTTTCTCGTATATACGTAGTATAGAGAAAGTATTGTAATCGTGCAAAAAAAAAAATCGAGATTTTTACAAATCTCGACGTTTTACACCTCACTGATACGGAAAAACATAATTTTGCAATCTTGTCCGTATGTCTGTGTGTGTGTGTGTCTGTGTGTGTGTCTGTCCGTGTGTAAACACGATAACTTGAGTACCGTTACAGCTAGGTTGATGAAATTTCATATATAAGTATTTTATCAAAATCGTAGATCCGTATCAACTTTTGAGCGATTTCCGATAACCGGAAGTGGTACTTTTCCTACTTTGAATTTTTTAAAAGCCTATAACTTGAGTACTATTTCAGATAGATAAATGAAATTTCACATGTAAGTAAAAGATCTAATTCTCTACCTTCTGTTAAATTTTGAGTAATTTCCGTTGACTGGAAGTAGTAATTTACGCTACTTCCGATTTCTCAAAAAACTAATGTAAATTTTTAAAGTACTAATAATATTGCGCACTATTATACGCGTTTTTTATTCGGCGTTTGCTTGGTGCGCAATGTTTTTTTTTTATGAGATTCTATTCTATTTTTAAAAGTTTAAGTATTTAAAATGGATTAAAAATCATAACTATATCCCCAGTTACCATCCCCTGTTGTTTTATATAAGAATATTCGAGAAAGTTTAGGGGAGATCACTACCGGTTTATTTTGTTCCCGCTTGGAAGCCCTATGGGACTAATCCAAAATAGCGCTCTGTGGATTTATTATAAAAACATATTTTCAAATATTTTCTGTAATGTGAAAATATTGTATTAAATTAGAAAAGAAATCTCTTGACGAGATCCCAACATCATGTGTATGAGTACATGTATTATAAACATTATGAATTAATTTTTAAAAAAAAACATTTCTTGACGAGATCCCAACATCATGTGCGTGAGTACCTGGCGTAGATGTTGTTGTCGTCCACACGGTCGATGTAACCGTTGCCATCAAGGTCAGCCAGAAAGAAATAAGCCTCGCACGTCTCCTGGTTGTATCCGGTCAAGGTCGCCCACACGCCCGTGAACTCTGACTTGCTGACCTGGTCGTTATCTGGGCAGTAGGGTGAGAGTTATCTGGGCAGTAGGGTGAGAGTTATCTGGGCAGTAGGGTGAGAGTTATCTGGGCAGTAGGGTGAGAGTTATCTGGGCAGTAGGGTGAGAGTTATCTGGGCAGTAGGGTGAGAGTTATCTGGGCAGTAGGGTGAGAGTTATCTGGGCAGTAGGGTGAGAGTTATCTGGGCAGTAGGGTGAGAGTTATCTGGGCAGTAGGGTGAGAGTTATCTGGGCAATAGGGTGAGAGTTATCTGGGCAGTAGGGTGAGAGTTATCTGGGCAGTAGGGTGAGAGTTATCTGGGCAGTAGGGTGAGAGTTATCTGGGCAGTAGGGTGAGAGTTATCTGGGCAGTAGGGTGAGAGTTATCTGGGCAGTAGGGTGAGAGTTATCTGGGCAATAGGGTGAGAGTTATCTGGGCAGTAGGGTGAGAGTTATCTGGGCAATAGGGTGAGTTATCTGGGCAGTAGGGTGAGAGTTATCTGGGCAGTAGGGTGAGAGTTATCTGGGCAGTAGGGTGAGAGTTATCTGGGCAGTAGAGTTATCTGGGCAGTAGGATGAGAGTTATCTGGGCAGTAGGGTGAGAGTTATCTGAGCAGTAGGGTGAGAGTTATCTGGGCAGTAGAGTTATCTGGGCATTAGAGTTATCTGGGCAGTAGGGTGAGAGTTATCTGGGCAGTAGGGTGAGAGTTATCTGGGCAGTAGGGTGAGAGTTATCTGGGCAGTAGGGTGAGAGTTATCTGGGCAGTAGGGTGAGAGTTATTAGATAGAGATGTCAGTACAGAGGGATATTTAGATAGAGCTGTAAGACAGTACAGTGGGATATTTAGATATAGCTGTAAGACAGTACAGTGGGATATTTAGATATAGCTGTCAGACAGTACAGTGGGATATTTAGATAGAGCTGTCAGATGAAGGTACTGTGGGATATTTAGATATAGCTGTACGACAGTACAGTGGGATATTTAGATAGAGCTGTCAGACAGTACAGTGGGATATTTAGATAGAGCTGTTAGACAGTACAGTGGGATATTTAGATACGGCTGTCAGATGAAGGTACAGTGGGATATTTAGATAGAGCTGTCAGACAGTACAGTGGGATATTTAGATACGGCTGTCAGATGAAGGTATAGTGGGATATTTAGATAGAGCTGTCAGACAGTACAGTGGGATATTTAGATAGAGCTGTCAGACAGTACAGTGGGATATTTAGATACGGCTGTCAGATGAAGGTACAGTGGGATATTTAGATAGAGCTGTCAGACAGTACAGTGGGATATTTAGATAGAGCTGTCAGATGAAGGTACAGTGGGATATTTAGATAGAGCTGTCAGACAGTACAGTGGGATATTTAGATAGAGCTGTTAGACAGTACATTGGGATATTTGATAGAGATGTCAAAAGGTACAGTGGGATATTTAGATAGAAAAGTAAGACAGTGCAGTTTGATATTTAGATATAGCTGTAAGACAGTACAGTGGGATATTTAGATAGAGGTGTAAGACAGTACAGTGGAATATTTAGATAGAGCTGTTAGACAGTACTGTGGGATATTTAGATAGAGATGTAAGACAGTACAGTGGGATATTTAGATAGAGCTGTTAGACAGTACAGTGGGATATTTAGATAGAGATGTAAGACAGTACAGTGGGATATTTAGATAGAGCTGTCAGACAGTACAGTGGGATATTTAGATAGAGCTGTAAGATGACAGTACAGTGGGATATTTAGATAGAGCTGTAAGATGACAGTACAGTGGGATATTTAGATAGAGCTGTCAGACAGTACAGTGGGATATTTAGATAGAGCTGTCAGACAGTACAGTGGGATATTTAGATAGAGCTGTCAGATAGTAAAGTGGGATATTTAGATAGAGCTGTCAGACAGTAAAGTGGGATATTTAGATAGAGCTGTCAGACAGTAAAGTGGGATATTTAGATAGAGCTGTCAGACAGTAAAGTGGGATATTTAGATACAGCTGTCTATAGCCCACGTAACAGTGACAGTAAAAATAGAGTTAATATAGCAGTGTTTGGCCTACTCAATTCTACTATTAACGATGTACTTAATATACTTGTTTTTGACCTACATACTCGTGACACTAACACTTGACTTTAATTAGAAGCTGATGACCTGGTTATAGACCAGTCTGTAGCTCGCTAGTCTGCATGACCTTTTTTTTGAAACAGTTAAACTATCGGTCTTTGACCTCATTTGTTATCTATCTAAACTGATCTAGTAAGATCTAGACTGTGACTCATTCGTGTAAGAAAAGTTTCAATAGACATACAGATGGTAGTTAAATAGTATATTAGGGTCAATGCTACAACTACATTACACCATGGAATGTGTACTTTTAATTTTTTTAAATCGCATTTTATTCACAAATATTCACGTTCAGACTTTGAATGTTGAGCTTAGAGTCATGGTTAACTTGTACATTGTGTCTAGTTTGAATTTTAAAAATTTGAATTTGAATTGAGGTCTACTAGCCCGACCTAAAAATTAGGACATATTGGCTCGAACCTAACCTAAAACTTAAAACTTAAGGACCCGGACCAACCTAAAAGTTAAACCTTAAGCTCCTGGTACAACCTAAAACCAAAAACTTAAGGCTATAGTTCTTCTTTAATCCCTAAAACGTACGGTCCTTGCCCAAATCTAAAACCTAAAACTTACAATCCTGGTCCCATCTAAAACCTAAAACTTACGGTCCTGATTCCATCTAAAACCTAAAACTTACAGTCCTGGTCCCATCTAAAACCTAAAACTTACGGTCCTGATTCCATCTAAAACCTAAAACTTACGGTCCTGGTCCCATCTAAAACCTAAAACTTACGGTCTTGGTCCTATCTAAAACCTAAAACTTACTGTCCTTGCCCAAATCTAAAACCTAAAACTTACGATCCTGGTCCCATCTAAAACCTAAAACTTACGGTCCTGGTCCCATCAAAAACCTAAAACTTACGGTCCTGGTCCAATATAAAACCTAAAACTTACGGTCCTGGTCCCAACTAAAACCTAAAACTTACGGTCCTGGTCCCATCAAAAACCTAAAACTTACGGTCCTGGTGCCATCTAAAACCTAAAACTTACAGTCCTGGTCCCATCTAAAACCTAAAACTTACAGTCCTGGTCCCATCTAAAACCTAAAACTTACGGTCCTGGTTCCATCTAAAACCTAAAACTTACGGTCCTGGTCCTATCTAAAACCTAAAACTTACGGTCCTTGCCCAAATCTAAAACCTAAAACTTACGACCCTGGTCCCATTTAAAACCTAAAACTTAAGGTCCTGGTCCCATCTAAAACCTAAAACTTACGGTCCTGGTCCTATCTAAAACCTAAAACTTACGGTCCTTGCCCAAATCTAAAACCTAAAACTTACGACCCTGGTCCCATCTAAAACCTAAAACTTAAGGTCCTGGTCCCATCTAAAACCTAAAACTTACGGTCCTGGTCCTATCTAAAACCTAAAACTTACGGTCCTTGCCCAAATCTAAAACCTAAAACTTACGGTCCTGATTCCATCTAAAACCTAAAACTTACGGTCCTTGCCCAAATCTAAAACCTAAAACTTACGGTCCTGGTCCATAAACTCATAGATATTGGCCAGCTCCTCTGGGGCGATGGAGCCGTCGCTGTTCTGATCAGCCTTGATGTACAACATGTTGATGATGCCCATCATATCGATGTTGCTGGGATACGGTCGACAGGTGAGTAAATAATATTGCAATAATCTTAAAATCATAATCTTTAATCTTTAATCTTGATATTTGGAGTGAATGCCTAATGAATTACTAACAAGATGTAAGCGTACAACTTGAGACAATAAAGAAATAGAAACGGAACAAGCTACAGTTATAAATTTAAATGAGAACACAATCATGGTTCAGAGAGTAGATAAAAAGTCCAAAAAAAAACCTCACTCTGTTTGGGCATTGACCACTCTGGCGAGACAAAAGACTGCTAAAACAATTGGAGATCTCTGGTAAAATACAAAAACTTCACATTATTAACTCCTTATTTAAACAGCAAATTTAAAAATTCGTTTTTAGCAATAACCTCAATTCAAACAATGTATTTACATTTTTGGTGACAATAGAAAAACTAATATTATTTAACAGTTACGAACGTTAAATGAGAGCTAGTGTTTGTGTAAATGTGTTGTCAGTGTAAAATCTGTATCGTTTCGTTGTCATAAGATCAATCAGTCAGTATGTTTTCTGAAAAAAGATGGTATTTGGAACACTGCAAGACATTTTCTAAACAACGCCCACCAATGATTTGTTGAGGTGTTGTTTATACTGACTTAAAAATAGTTTTGTATTAAGTGTTATACCGTAAAACAAAGGAAATCAGAACTTTGTGAAGTCGTCTAAGTCATGTTTTTATAAGTTTGAAAATTTTTTTTTAATAGATGAACATTCACGCGATAATATATTTAAGATCTTTGATATCATAAGCAATTCAGGCAAGGAATAGATAACTGTCCTATAAACAGTTTAGAATTCTTAGCATGCATAGTGCTATCTACTTTCTTTCATCAGATTTTAAACTCAAAGCGTCACTTTATCAACAAACATATTCCTTCTCTAATTATTCTTATCAGGTTCGTTGGACTTAGGTTTTAAACAATGATTTTCATTAATGATAATATCTTCATAAAATAATAATTTTTGAAACAAGCAAGGTGGCAAGATTTATGTCAGACACGCTATTGCTTTTATTTAAACGAAAATTGACATCACTTCACTGATGACAAAAATGTGCGAGTTCAATATTCAAACTTTCCGATGTATGAGTTGACTATTTTTGTATCTGTGAATTGTGCGATTCCCCAATTACGTAATAGTGACATATAACTTGTTTTGACGTATTGTCGTTTAAAATTAGAGTCCCCACGTATCTATCAACGATAATCCAATTAACATCGATCATATGTAAATTTAATGATTTAATTAATGTGTACTTAATGAGCCAAAGTCAACAACTAGATAAGCCACATAATTAGGTATTACGCCAAGAGCATAGAGCCCATTTAATGAGGAAGTAATAAAGTCATCGTTGGATTTAGAACTATATTTCACAATTAGGGATGGGTTTTTCCAAACTTTAAATAATTATCATTAAAAAAGTTTTTTTAAAAACCCACGTTTTCTGATTGAACTAAAAAGTAGAAAATAAATGCTATACATCACAATAATGCAAGCGATCACTCTACTATAAGCGATCACAAACTGCGTGCGCATTATGACAAAAAAATAAAAAACGTTAGGCGCCGATGTAAAAGCTTTTTATCGGTCATTGTTAATATAAGATGTTATATAAAAAGTTATAAAAGTTATATTACTATTGATTAGATAATACTATTGAGTTTTATTAGGGAGCTTGTAGAGAGTCAACAGTATTAAAAACTGTAAGAAAATCACGTGTTTGTTCAACCGTGACACGACTACATTATGACTAAATAAGGTAATGTGTATATGGTACACGTATTTTACATGGTATGCTTATAATTGTAGTGTATTATACATTACTTTAGCATGATATGTTTCGTTTTACTTTAAATTTAAAACATTAAAAAATGGATTATTGTGCTTTGGTGCTTTAACTTTGATATTATATTTTACTCTCCCCACTAAAGGCTATATTAGGCATCAGTTGGTCCCCTACACTTACTCATGTTTGTTGAGGTTTAGATCCTGCCTGGATCAAACATCAGTTTTGTTTTATTTATTTAAAAAGAAGCGTTAAGTTAATCAAAATATACCAGAGTGCACATCTAGCTATTTATTAGCATTAGATTTACTTTAAATAATTACGACTTACCATTTTTCTAGTCCAACCTCTGCCTTAAAAATGTAAAATAATACATTAGTTTTACTATAGATGTTATGCTGTTAGATTTTAAAAATTGTTCTTCGTTTGTTTAAATGAAACATAGCCCCATTCAATGTATTAAAAGTTTAATGAATCTTTTATTAGATCTTGCAACTGAAACCATAAGCCATTAAGCAAAGTTTCGATTAATTGATTACATCATTAATTAGTGCATGATAAGGTGGTGTGTTTGGTCATGTCAGACATTGCTTATCTTTCAACCTCTCTTTGTTGCTTGTGTTCTACGGTCCTGGTTTTTTCAACTATGTAATCTTACTGAAAAAAAGTTCCGGTATGTTTGATGATAATTTTTTAATAAAAATACTAAACTAAAATAAATTCTTGTTAAAAAATCTAATATTTAATAATCTAAATTAATGTATTTTTAAAGACTTTTTTACAAGAGTTAACACAGAGAAAACGTTTGTTTCTGCTAATTAAATAGTAATCATTATTGAACTGAAATGTAATGCGAATAGTCTAAAAGATTGTCCAGAAACATGATAAAATATTCTTTGACTAAGTCAATGTGTCTAGTTCTACATACTTCTAAAACTCAGCCATGATGTAAGTTGTCACATTTAAGAGATTGGCAAATATGTAATCTATGTAGCGTTTTGTATTACGTCCTTATTTCGAAACAATTATTATAATTAAAATGAATTTACATATCAAATGCATTGTACAGATGGTAACACAATTTAGAAAGCATTTAAAATGTAAAAAAATATATATATTTATCTATACAAGTTGAGAACAAAAGCTTTAATTTTGAAAACATGGCCTCCGTACAAAATGGAAACGTTGCCGATTGAAAAGTTTAATTCATTATGTTCTGTCTGTAGCTTTAATGATATGTCTATTTGTTATTTTATTGTTTCAACACAATTATTAATTTTCAATAAAATACTAATGATTAACTGGAATTTTAATTGAATTACTGAAGCAATAAAACAGTTAATATCCGAAATAAATTAATATCATGTTTTTTTTTAAATTATATATTGGACTATATATATATATATATATATATATATATATATATATATATATATATATATATATATATATATATATATATACTAGCCGTCCCGGCCAGGCCCTGCTCTGGCTTCTGTGAAAAACCTTTCTGTTAAAGACCATTACCTGTGTGTTTAGTAATCATCATAAACCCGGCATTGCTCACCCAAACCACGACCAACCAAAACCAAAACAACAAAACGCAAACATAACGCTAACACAATTACAAATACAAACGAAAACAAAAACCTAGCAACAAACCCAACCACAACCACAAACACCAATACAAACACAAAGAAAAAACAAACGAAAACAAAAACCTAACAACAAACCCAACCACAAACACCAATACCAAAAAAAAAAAAAACGAAAAAGCAAACGAAAACAAACCAAATCCAAACGCAAAACCAACCAAAAACACAAATACAAACCCAAACAAAAAAAACACAAACAAAAACGAAAAAAGAAAGAACAAAAACGAACCAAATCAAAACGCAACCACTAACGCAAACCCACCTAAACACAAAGAAAACACTAACGCGAACATAAACGCCCGGGGCAGAATCGCCTGTTTTAGCTTAATAAACGACTATAGTACCCCAACTTATTCATAGTTTTTGCACTCACTTAAACGAACGCGCCTGTTTCAATTTAATGAACAATTATAATACTCCAAGCTTATCCGTAAAATACCTACAACATTTGCACTTGATCAATCCCCGCTAATTATGTAATTATTTTTTTCCCAACACCAAAACAAAGTAATTAAAAAGTAAATGCTTTTCAACTAATGCAATGGTTTTATAAAGGGAAGTAATTGTGTTTTGCCTAATTTATCAAAGGGAAGTAAGCGCTATATAACTAAATAAAGACATAATTAGAATTTTTTTAAAAGATGATATTTATTTAAAACTTGTGTTTAATGAACATGCCGACAATTATTACTATAATTTGAAAAATGAAAATGATTTCCCAGCACTTTTAATAGTAATTTTTTAACTCATAAATTTAGACAAATGCGCACGATAATTTTCTAACACTTAAATCCATCGATAACCAGCGACAAACAAACATATGCGTTACAGAATTGAGCTTTATATATTAGATTCCATCGATAACCAGCGACAAACAAACATATGCGTTACAGAATTGAGCTTTATATATTAGATATACATATATATATATATTTACCAGTGCCCGCCGTTTCCCCCCCTCCCGAAAATGTGGTCTCCGCCCGCCCTCCCCCCATAAGTACCACATGGTGTGGTGAGCTGTGGTTCACGATTAATGTTTACAATCGTAGAGCAGGGCTTAGTGACGGCTATTAGAGGAAGATAACTTACTTTGAAACCATATTTAACTTAGGGGAGGAAACTAAGAGGAGGCTGCTTTCACGGGGGGGGGGGGGGGGGGAGGGGGGGGGAGGGGGAAAGGATGGTTTTAGTGTTTTAAAGCAAATATTTTCAGTGTCAGCATTCAAATTATGAATTACTGAAAAGTAGAAAATAAAACAACTAAATAGCGGCGTATGATTCGCCGCGGGTCGGCTATACGTGGGGACAGAGTTTCTTCCAGGCAACTCTTCGGGGGGGGGCGAAGACCCCCCCCCCCTCCCCCAAAAAAAATTTTACCGCCCCCCCCCCCCCCCCCCCCCCGAACGAAATGAAATTTATATTATTTATATAGAAAATATATACTTTTAACAGTGTCCGCCCCCCCCCCCCCGAAGAAAGTTTACCGCCCCCCCGAAGATTTCAAGTGCCCCCCCCCCCCCGGAGAAAAAAGTCTGGAAGAAACACTGCGTGGGGACCATGCGGGACACCACCAAGATGTAAGCTCAACAGACCATATCGTTACCACCCCCACCCCCACCAGTCTGGTGAGCTGTTTACAATAGTAGTGACGGCTATTAAGGGCAGATAATTTAGTTTTTAAACGATTTGCAATTAAGGGGAGGTAATAACATATTCTGCTTATTCTTTTCAGTGTCGTCTGTAAACTGACATCACAGACGACAGCTTTCACTGAGGCGGGGTGGGGGGGGGGGGGGGAGGGAGGGGTAGGATTATCGTCCTTCACTAGATACTGATAGTGTTTTAAAGCTAAATATTTTCAGTCGCAGCATTGGTAGTGTCGAATTCACAAGTTATGAATTACTGAAAAATAGGAATCAATCTAAATAGTGATTTATGCTACATCGCGGGTCAGCTCGTTGTATATAATCCTCTTTTCTCTTTCGTGCCCAAAACACACTTGGTAGATGAAGTAGAGTTCATATTCTTCAAAGACAATAGCTTATGCAGAAATAGTGTGTGCATCACAATGCCCAGCCGCCTTTGTATTCCCTAACGTAAGCTAACCATCATAGCTGGGTGGACTCTAACTCTAGGACATTCTAATGACTTGAACCCGGATTTAAATTCGAGACTTTCAGGTTAGCAGTCTAGCTCTCTACCGCTAGGCCAAGCCGTCCCATTTATATAACGACACCTCAGATCAAATTATTCTATAATGAAAAATAAAATATAGGCCTAAAGGGGAATATACTAAACGCACTAGTTTGGTTAAATGCTATTGACTTACAGGAAAATATACGCATCACTCTCTAAAATTCATATTTCGCATATACACGTGTATGGGTAAGTATTGTAAAAGTAAAAAAAAAAGTTCCCTTTCAAACCTGACGGTCTATATGGCAAATGAAGTAGAGTTCGCTTGTTTCTGTGACCTCGGCATATGACGAGATGGTGTGGTCAGCACTATGCTTTAAAAAAGTCTTGTAATCGTGCAAAAAAAAAAAAAATCGAGATTTTTACAAATCTCGACGTTTTACACCTCACTGATACGGAAAAACTAAAGTTTGCAATCTTGTCCGTATGTCTGTGTGTGTGTCTGTCTGTGTGTAAACACGATAACTTGAGTACCGTTACAGCTAGGTTAATGAAATTTCATATATAAGTATTTTATCAAAATCGTAGATCCGTATCAACTTTTGAGCGATTTCCGATAACCGGAAGTGGTACTTTTTCTACTTTGAATTTTTCAAAAGCCTATAACTTGAGTACTATTTAGGATAGATAAATGAAATTTCACATGTAAGTAAAAGATCTAAATCTCTACCTTCTGTCAAATTTTGAGTAATTTCCGTTGACCGGAAGTAATAATTTACGCTATTTCCCATTTTTAAAAAAAACCGCATGTAAATTTATACAGTACTAATAATATTGCGCACTATTATGCGCATTTTGTTTTGGCGTTCGCTTGGTGCGCAATTCTTTTTTCTATGAGATTCTATTCTATTTTTAAAAGTTTAAGTAATTAAAGATCATGTCTATAGAGCCTATTCCAAGTTATATAAGAATATTCGAGAAAATTTTGGGGAGATCACTCCCGGTTTATTTTCTCAATCTTTCAAGCTCTCTACGTAGAGAGCTTGAAAGTGTGTTTTCATCATTGGAAAGCTGCATTTCTCATGTATTTGATTATTGTATTTTCAATAATCTCAGAATAACTCAAAACTTACAACCGGTTTTTCAAATACACAGATATGTTATTTTAGTGAACTACTTTTCGTTACTTTTTGCTATTTTTCTCAGTTCGCACTTTTTAGCACTAAATGTGGTTTTTTTTTTAGCGCAATTTCCATTCTGGAGAATTGCGTTTATTAACCCGTCATTTCTGGGAATGTATGAATGTATGGATGTGTGTTCGCAGCTTTAAGTCGTATCTCCTCCTCAACGAAGCAATATCGAGGACTAGTTCCAAAAGCAATTATGTTAAGCAAGTTACGAGGATGATAGTGGGCCAAAAAAATTCCGGAATTCCTTAATACTATAATAGATTTCCCGGAAAAGCCAAAAAAACTCGATGTATGAAGATGTGTGGTCGAGTGGGCATGGGGAGTGGCACACGTGCTAGAGGGCGCGGGTTCAAATCCATCTGATACCTCATTGCTATGACTTATGTATGCCACTTAATCATAACAAAGTTTTTTTTCCACAGTTACTTAAGGTACTCATGGAAGGGATACTTTTGTTAAT